AAAAAAAAAAAAAAAAAAGAGAGAGAGACAGAAATAAAATACAAAATAAACAGCAAAATACATTTCTACAACTTTTCTGACCTCACTAGAATTCAACTAAAGGAACAAACGGTTGATATGCATGCCCCTTGCTATGCTTTCTTTCTTCCCATACCTGATCTGCATGTGCTGGGCACAGAAATTGAAATCACCCACAGTCATGGCTAGGCTTGGGGCAAAATGAAAGGTCAACATCTTTTATTAACAGGAAACACCAGAAGGATAGAAGGCAATGTACATTGATCAACTCACTAGTTCTGTGGGTCAGGAGACCAGGCATGGCTTAGCTGTGTCCTCTGCCTAGGATTTCACAAGGCAATCAAGATCTCAACTGGGGCTATATTTCTTTCAAGAGCTCACATCCTCTTACAAGCTCATGTAGTTGCTGGAAGAATTCATAGGATAGGATAGGATAGGATAGGATAGGATAGGATAGGATAGGATAGGATAGGATGGGATGGCAATAAAGTGAAAGAGACAATAGTAATGCCAAAAAGCACAAGTCTCAGACTCAGCGTTTTTTTTGTTGTTATTTCTCATGAGAAGAAGGAAACTAATAGTCTGAAAGCAGCTATGGAAAGCAAAGAGAATCCTGCCCCCACCTCCTGACCCTGAGAGAAACACAGTGAGAAAATAAACAGGTATGGTAGGCAAAATTCTAAGATGATCCCAATGCCCTATGCTCTAACATAATCCCTGCCCCTTGAGTGTGGACAGGACACATGATTAGGATGGAAGTTCTCCTTATAAAGCAAAAAGATTTGGCAGCTATAATTATGGCTCCTGATTAGTTGACACTAAATGAATCTAAAGGGAAAGTATCCTAGGTGAGCCTGACCTAATCAGTTGGGCCTTTACAAAGGGTCTAGAGGTCAGAGAAATTATCCTGCTTGGCCTTGAAGAACTAAGCAGCTGTGTTATGAAAAGGACTGTGAGAGGCTTCTGGGGATTGGCCACTGGCTGATGGCCAGCAGTCCTACAACCACAACCACGTGGCACTGAAGTCTTCCAGCAACTACATCAGCTTGTAAGAAGAGTTGAGCTCTATAAAGAAATACAGCCCCAGTTGAGATGTTGATTGCATTGTGAAACCCTAGGCAGAGGACGACAGCTAAGACTTGTCTGGTCTCCTGACCCACAGAGCTAGTGAGATGATAAACGTACATTGTTTTAAGCTGCTAAATTTGTAGTAATTTATGTGCATCAGTAGAAAACAAATACAGGTAAGCTGCAGAGGACATTGTATTGCTGAAAAAAGGCCAGGCTTCACTCAAGGGGAATATCCTTGCTCATTTTAAATGCTGAGGCTTTCTGCCCTCTTTAGATACTTATGCTCACAAAAGCACAGAGGGAGAGGCTTGTTCCATTCAGCCTTCTCCTCTAGGTTTGTCTCCAGCTTCCAAGAAAGTACTGCCTAGAAAACAGTCAGTTAAGATGCGGCCACTCTTGTCAGAAGAAAGAAAGAGAGAGACAGAGAGGCAGAGACAGAGATAGTGAAAAAGTAGGGAGATCTTCCTAAATTTCTTAAAGCAGCCCTTATTCATGGGAAGATGGGTTTAATGGAAACAATTTATGAAAATATTTGCACAGCTTCTGGCTTTTACTCAATTCATACTTGTCAATAGTCATGTGTTTCAATATACGTGTATCTTAAAACAAGTTAACTGCCTTTTCCTGTTTCCTAAAGTTTTATTTTTCACAAGATTTTTGCATTAGAGCTAGAAAGGTGGATAAAATGGTTTCACTGGTCAAGTTTTCTTGTTTTTGATTGGGCAAAGATGAACTTGTATGTGTCAAGGATCTGAGTCACTGTTAAATTTGAGAATCCTCATATTGCTGTTCCCCACATTTCTATTTTCTTCCTTAAAAATCACCATTTTTTTAAACCACATTGTCTTTACAGTTAGCTTTCTTTACAGGGCATTTTTGATCCCCACACCCAAAAAGTTTTTATTACTGTTGGAAATATACTGTTCCAGTAACATGTAAAAAGAAGCAGGCAGCCCTGTGAACTGCAGATGCTGGGTAGCTTTCTGGGCTCATGTGCTGACAGCAGCCTCATGTTGGTATTACGGGAAAATCAGAAATAAACTGCATTAAATGGACCCTCAGGGCTGCTTGAAAATACTTTGACATATGACTCTTAAACTTATAAACATTAAGCATTAATTTTGCTCTTTGTAACCATATGCATATGTGAACTACTGAATATAACCATGCAAAATACACATACAGCATGACTTTGTTTTCCCAATTTATCTTTAATATAATTTCAAGGAAGATTCAAAGTCACAAAAATTTTATCCAGCTACATAGCTATGTCCTACACATGCATATTTGGGGTTCCAGCACAGCTTCTGACACAGAGTTTCTATGTGAATCCTTATCTATCTCTTGGCTTCCTTCATTGTAATGTATCTCTTCATCACAACAGTTTGAATGTACTTGATGCCACTAAACTGTATATTTTAAATGGTTAAAATAGTAAATTCTATGTTATATATATTTTACCACAGTTAAAAAAAATCACATATCAAGAAGAAGATTGGTGAGAGCATACAATAAAAATTGTGTAAAGAAGAAAATATAAAGCTGCTCGTGCCAGTTCAGTCTTTCATCATAGGAAAGATAACTAAGTGCCAACGAAGCTGGAATAACTTATCAAATTGCAG